CAGCAGATATCCATTACGCGATACTTGGAATTAGAAGATTTAAATCTAGAGTGTATGTGGTTGTGGGTTCGACCACCACGCCTACCGAGACCGCTATCTGCAATCGCAGTATGTGTAGTGTATAATCCACCGGACAAAAGTGTGCAAGAACAGAGGGAACTTTGCGATTACCTTGTGTCCTCTATTGATACTATACGCTCTAAATACCCTGATTGTGGCATAGTCGTTTTAGGCGATTTTAATCGTCTCAATATACAGGATTTAGTTACAAGTCACAACCTTAAGCAAGTTGTCACGCGTCCGACTAGACAAGATTCAATCTTAGACTATATTATTACGAACTTGAAATCCTTTTACAAAACACCGGATATTTCTGCTCCACTTGGAACGTCGGACCATAACGTAATCATGTGGATCCCAAAAGACATTTTTAAGGATAATAATAATACGTGTACAAAGCGCACTGTGCGTCGGTATCCTCAGTCAGGTTTGAATGGTTTTGGTTTATGGTCAACCAGGAATAAATGGTTTAGTGGACTCGGACTCAATCCATCGTCGGATGAGTTAGCGTCATCTTTTACCAATGATCTGAACACTGCATTCGATCATTTTTTTCCAGTGAACACAATCAAATTTCATCCCACGGACAAACCATGGATTACTGGGCACATAAAGCAACTTATTAAAGAACGCCAACGTGCTTTCCACACTGGCGACGCGCAATTGTGGCGCCATTACAGACGGAAGGTCCAGATAGAGATTAAAACCAGGAAAAATAATTTCTATACCCAAAAAATCCATAACTTGCGAAAAGACGATGTCCGTCAATGGTGGCACACTATTAACACAATGTCAGGTAGAGCGAAAAGTCAACCTCAGTTTACAATTGAGCGTGACGGACAGTTATTATCGGAAGGTGAACTGGCAGAGTCTCTAAATGATTATTTCGTAAGTGTAGCAAGTGATATCCCACCACTTGATATTTCAAGCCTTCCAACATTCTTACCAGCTGCGGTGCCGCCTCCTACAATTCATCCTCATGAGGTTTGTAGTAAGCTCTTAAAACTTCAGACTAATAAGGCTATGGGCACGGACAGTATTCCATCACGAATTTTAAAAGAGTTCGCCTACGAACTTGCTGAGCCAGTTACATCAATATTTAATACATCTTTGTCCTCTGGACTAGTACCTGTTTTATGGAAAGATTCTACCATCATACCCATTCCTAAAGCGAAACAAACCCAGGTTGAGAGCGATACCCGCCCCATCGCACTTACCCCTGTGTTATCGAAAGTACTCGAAGACTTTGTGGTTAGTTGGATGGTTGAGGACATAGGTGGACAAATCGATAATCGTCAGTATGGCAGCCTGAAGGGAACATCTACCACCCTTTGCCTTCTAGATCTTATCCACAACTGGCTTTCTAAAATGGACAACCCAGGTCATTACCTTAGAGCTTGCTTTCTGGACTTTAGCAAAGCTTTCGATAGAATAGACCACAATATTGTTATAACAAAATTGATCGATTTGGGAGTGCGCCGTTCAATAATCCCTTGGATTTGTAGCTTCCTTTCAAATCGCCGCCAGTGTGTTAAGCTGGGACAGTGCGTGTCCCGATGGCTTTCAACTAGTGCTGGGGTCCCACAGGGTACCAAATTGGGTCCAATCCTTTTTGTCATAATGATTAATGATTTGAAAATAGTATCCCCGCGTTCCAGTAATTGGAAGTACGTAGACGACGTGACGATATCTGAGATTGTTCCAACAAGGGAGGTATCTATACTACAAAACGAATTGGACGCAATTGGTAATTGGACAAGTACCAATAATATGAAATTGAACCCCAAAAAGTGTAAAGAGATGATTGTCTCCTTTCGACGAGATATTGAGCAGCCACCACCCACCTTAGTTGTTGAAACCATTAGTCTTGAAAGAATAGAATCCCACAAAGTATTAGGTTTAACGATCCAGAATAATCTGAAGTGGGATTTGCATATCAGTGAGATAGTAACCAAAGCATCAAAAAGACTACACATCTTACGAGTTCTCAAGCGCAGTGGAGTTTCACCGTTTCATTTACTACGAGTACATTTTGCACTTATTAGATCCCTGCTTGAGTACTGCTGTCCGGTATGGCATTCATCATTGACCATTAACTTGTCAGATAAAATTGAACGGGTCCAGAAGCGCACAATGCGAATAATCTACCCCACATTAAGCTATGACGCTGCTCTGGACCAAGCTAAATGTTCGACATTACGCGCAAGACGTGATGGTTTGTGCATAAAAACTTTTGACAAAATCAGACAGCCTGATTCACGCCTTAACCATTTAATACCACCTTCTCGGGCCAATGGACACAATTGTAATTTAAGGTACGGAAATAGATTAACACTGTTTCCTTGTAAGACGGAGCGCTTTAAGAAAAGCTTTTTCCTACTATGTGTATTCAATCACATAATTTATAAATTTTGTAAATTTTGTAAATTTAAAAGTTCTTTCGATATTAATTCATAGATCAGTAAACTATTGTTGTAATATAATGCCAGTAACACAAGGTACTTTTTAATACTTTTAACTAAAGTTTGTAAATAATTTCGCAATTCGCTTTCATCGAGCGCGACGATTTTTATAATAAACCATTAATAATAATAATAATAATATACCAATCTCCTTTCAATGTCTATCACCAGTGTGCAAAATAACACTCGGCCATAGGCTATTTTCCGAGCCAAACGCTGAAATACGTGGCTAAAGAGGATGGACTAGGTTAGGTTTTCAAGATAGCCGCCAGTTTTACGATCATTAAAACATAAAAGAATCAACAAACAGCCACTTGAAAAGGACTAAACCTCATAGGCGTACGGGCGACAACATTTTAAGGGGCGGTCGATTTTTGCCCGATGTCTTGTCCTTACCCTTACTCTCACCCCACACCTAACCCCCACACTAACCCTAATACTAACGCAAACTCTTATATCAATTTTGGAACCATGTCGTAAACTACCTCTCGTCCATCCCTTTTAGACATTACCTCTACTGAATTCTCTACACGGCCATTATGGCTGATCATTTTGTCGCACTTTATCACCTTTGCTGTCTGATACAAGTTTTAGTGAAAAGCACTGGATTTCAAGGGAAACAAATTTAATCTTATTTTTCTGGTAATTGCATCATCAAGCCCGCAAAGTATACTTACCATAATTTTCCCACACTTGACCATCATTACTCCTATTTATCCCGCCAGTATCTTGGCTCTTACTTTTCTTGGCACCAGACCTCTCTTCATATCGCGACTTTCGTTTGCGCTTACTTAATGATGGCGTATAAGCCTCGTCTTGAAACTCAAAAGGATCAATTTCATCATCGGGCGAGCTCGCCCTTGCGGTCTGAAACCTTTCGCGAACATTTGTAAAAATACATCTCGCAGAAGGCGCCGGTAGCGTTGCAATCTTATCAACATCCAAAACATCTTTCAGAAGGCTAAATCCCTGCTCGTCTGTGTTTTCTTCAGAAGGGACTGGGACCGATAGGGAAAGTGTGGGAACGGTCGGTTCGGATATAGTCGTGACCAGATCGGGCGAGATTGTCTTCAGATCGGGCGAAACCGGACAAAACTCGGTAGTACTTGCAATTTCTTGTGAATGATCTAAGTAAAGGCCTAATTCCACGACGAGCGAAATGCGAAAAATTTCGCGCGAAAAGGTTGAACGCATGCGCAACATTGTTTTGGAATGTTTCTCGGCGAAATATTTCTCTTCGCCGAGTAGTTGAATTCGTTTCTACTCCGTTGCGAAATGGAAATAGCGAAACCAATCAAATGCTTGTCTTTTGGATGACAAAATAGCGAAACCAATCAAATGCTTATGTTTTGGCGAATTTTTTCTCCAAGTGTGGAAATCGCTACGAGAGAAAATTTTCGCACAAGTGTGTTTTCGCTCGAAATTTTTCGCATTTTGCTTGTCGTGGAATTAGGCCTTAAGAGGAAGAAACGAATGGTTTCTTTAATTAAGTGAAAAATAAATATAATTCAAATAACTGGTATTATTATACATTGAAAATGGTAAAAGCAATTTGATTGGCTAAGAGCTTACAGTTAAATCCCGCAATCACGCAACCTACACAAAATTCAGTTATCTGCTAGCAGATAACTGAGTTATCTGCAAATGAGCCTGCGATGATTAGCAAGCGGTATCTATTTAACATAAACAAAGCCTAGCAAAGCAAAATTTTGAACAAACGTAGAAAAAATATGAATATGGATAGGTTTTCATAAATAAAGTTTTTCACGCGTTAATACTATGTTTATTATTCTTCGAATGTATAATAAAACAATTATTGAATTCGGTTTTTGCGATATGCAAAATTATCAAGGTCTCGGCCTTGATAATTCCGCTTACCTCGACCTTGATAATTCCGCATATCAGAAAAACCTCATCCAATAATTATTAATTAAATCACCTTAGTCAGTTAAAGATCTCTCTCTATCCTTGAGGAGCATTGGAAATTGAGAATAAACAATTCCCATTATAGGCTAATTTTAACACTTGGCAAGCAGATGCAAATAAATTACAACAGCTAGAAAGAGCACACTAAAATGAGTAAATGCGAAATGTTATAAAATGCGGAAAATATAGCCTTGCAAAGTTTGCAAATTTTGTATACTTTTGTATTGCGTGCGGAAATTGCTACCACATTTCGGCCGAAAATCGTAGCAATCCCCGCATGCAATACAAAAGTATACAAAATTTGCAAGGTTATATTTTCCGCATTTTACAACATTTCGCAACCAAACTTTGCAATGTTACTCATTTTAGTATGCTCTTTCTAGCTGTGGTGATTTATTTGCATTTCCTTGCCTAGTTTTAAAATCAGTTTATAATGGGAATTGTCTATTAGAACTGAGCTGGCGCAACCATATATATATATACACGAAACGTTATTTCGAGCCTGGGTATCCAGGTAGTAAACAGAGGGGAAGGTGTTACCCCAACCTTGCACCTAGAGCGTCTGCGCTTATGGCTATCAGAAGCCCTGGGCAATCAAAAGCCCTGGGCAATCAGAAGCCCTGGGATAATGAAATCGGATCAACCTCGTAACTCTATGAATAATAATAATGAACTAAAATTTGTATGTTGAGGGTGATTTTGCGAAGTTCTTTGGGGATGAACTAGGCAAAGTGTTAACTACAATTATTTATTAGTTGAGTCGGTTCTCTTTAATGTGTTGCGGGATGCATAAGGTTATAAACATATAACCCGTGAATAAGTAGATTACACTTGTCGACAAAACCCGAAAAATCCTAATCGAACGTCTTTGAAATTGATGAAACCGTGTTCGAAAATCTCCTCAACTAGTCAACTAGTAAATACAGTATAAGTCATGTATTTGCCTTCGAGTCAATATACTGTATGACTTACAGTATATCTCGCGTTCTCGGTTTAAAACCTGTACATAGTAAAGGTTATACACCAGATTTGGCATACATCCTGGAGACTTTTGTTAATGGAACGAATTTAAAAACTGCTTGAATAGTTTCTGAGTTTGTGTCTAAACACGGTGGTGAGGTTCTTGGCACGGGTTTTAACTTTCATTCATCTTACTGTCAGCTCTTGCTCCAAAATCACTTGGATGAGAAATGTTCTCTCTTGTTAACTCAGCGAGATCACTAGGTTCAGAAATACTTTGTCTTGTTAGCTCAGGACTCTCACGAGTTGTTTGACCTGAAGTAAAGTAAACGAAAATGAATCTTTGTCAGAAATATATTTGGAAAAAGTAAGTTTATTGATAGCCCTTAACTATGCTATATGGTAACTATAGGTCTTGGCTAGGAGAGATGGGGGCTCTGTAGATGGAACTTCAATTTCTATACACTTCTAAACCTAACCATGCAGGAGCGGTTGCGAAAAATGCAACTGTTGGCTCCCTGGCAGGAATCGAAACAGAATAACTATAGTCCGTGACTATAACGACTATACCCATTTCACTGAAGTCACAAATCCTTAGAGTGTCCTCCAGATGCTCCCTAACAATATCTGTTTGGGTACAACAACCACATACAGCACAAAAATTAACCATTTTAATACAAAATTATTATAAACTTTTAAAAATTTGCTTTGTTTACAAAAGTTATATTAGGCATAGAATGCTAATTTGTTCTCCAGATGCATCGTCACTGGCGCTGTGACGTCATGTGCAATGGGTCTATAGCGCTTGAATATGATTAGTAGTGATCAGCATCTAAAATCGACCTGAACAATTTCAAGGTACACAATCCACAATAATCGCTGGTTGGTTTGTTTTGTTTAGCCACTGGTTATGTACTATTTAAAACACGAGCAGGAGTGCTTGATCAGATATAAA